AACAAAGTCGACCTTTGCTCAGTCACATGACCTCCTGAGAACGACACAAACAGGCTTCATTCTGTGGCGTCTGCACAGAGAGGGAAGGATGAAGTTTTTGGAGCTGTTTGGGCGTCTGAAATCCGTCGTTATCGGAATGATCCACGTGAAAGCGTTGCCAGGTAACAGAGTCCACCTGTCGGTGTCCTCCAGGTTCAGGTGAAGTGTTTGGTTGTGGCAGGGGGGGGTCAGTGAGAGCACAGAGGTTTGCAAAATGTGGTTTCAGGGTGAGCTGGCGTCCAGCGTGGGCCTGCTTGTCATCAGGTTAAGACAACATCGTACATTCTGATTGGCTCAGATTTAGCTGATATGTGACATTTTCCTGCGTGCGCTGCGCTCAGACGTGTAACATTTCAGCCTCACACAGCGGTGTGGTCGGCTGTGACGGGGCAGGTAAACTTTATTTAACCAGGATCATGTGAGTCGAGGTCAAACATCTGAGACACGCAGCAGCACAATCGACCTTCGAACGAAGATACACGGCAACAAAATACACACTAAGTCCATCGACGTACACGATGACCCGCCCTAACTGTGACGCCGCTGAACCTCGGCCCCGTTCTCCTGTCCAAACAAGGCCTGTTCTCACTTTTTCTGCTGTCATGACCTTTGACCTTTCGCACACTAACACACACTTTCTGCACGCTCTGACCTCGGGGTAAACTTGCTGGGACGTCCACTCGTAGGAACATTTTGTGATTGTGTTAACACACCTGAACACGGTCGACCTGCAAACAGAGCAAAGCTCTGCTTTTACAGAGGCGCTCACACTGCTGCTGATCAGTCAATCACCTGCATTGATTAGCAGCAGCTGATAATAATGACACGCTGTTTTGTTGTTCGTCCAGGTGATCGTGGTTGTGTCCTGATGTGTCACCGGGTGTGACTTTGAGTAGGAGGAGCTGCAGAGAAAAACATCACAGTTTGCGCTCGTGTTTTTGTACATGTACGGTGCCCACATCCTTAAGTGTTGATGCTACTCTTTGAGACCTTATCTAACAGGCTCCTCCTCTTCCTCAGGTAGCCCACTGGGCTCTTTGAAAATGTCTGAAATCAGCGAGGCGGCGTGCCGGGAGGCAGCGATCTACAGAGACGCGGGGGTTGTACGTTTGTGCACGTTGTTTGCGTTCCTCACAGCTCTGCAGTCTGCGCAGGCGAGGCGCTAACCCAACCTCCCGTCTTTCAGGATGGACTGATCGTTGAAAACATGCACGATGTGCCGTACTCTCTGAGCGTGGGCGCCGAGGTGAGCGCCTGCATGACCGCCGTCTGCTGCAGCGTTAGGGCCGTCTGTCCGTCCCTGCCGATAGGAGCGCAGATCCTGACTGCAGCCAATCAGCAGGCTCTGGCTGTGGCTCTGGCTTCAGGTTCAGTTGTTCGTTCAGTTCGTGTTGATGTGTTTGGAAAGATGCAGGACGTGTGACGGCGCTGTGTGCTTCCAGGCCTGGACTTCATCAGGGCTGAGGGCTTCGTCTTTGCTCACGTGGCAGACGAAGGCCTCCTGAACGCCGGCGCCGGGGAGTTACTGCGGTACCGCAAACAGATCGGAGCTGAGCACGTGCAGATCTTCACCGACATCAAGAAGAAGCACAGGTGAGGTCACCTGCTGTGCAGCTATAGTAAAGAATGAAGTCCTCAGTGATGCAAGAAGACGTGAAAACACTTCCTGTGTCTGAGTACAGCTGCAGATAATCAGGATGGGGGGTCGGCCAATAGTCTGTCAGGCCTGTCACAGCTGAGCTTTTAGGCACTGGGACGTTAATGGGGCCGGCCTGGGCAAGGGAGGTGTTAAAATGTGTGTCAGCACCATGGCGAGCTCTTAGAGGCCGTCCTGGATGTTTCCTGTTGATGGTCCCCTGTGGTGTCCTTCTGGTGTCTACTGCAGCTCACCTGCTGCTGTGGGAGGAGCATCCCCCCCACTGAGCAGCAAATCAGGAAACTTTCACACAAGGTTTGATTTTTATTACAGTGCAAACACTTATCATCTCCAGTGTGTAACATCCACACATGCCTCTGTGTGTGTGTGTGTTTCCAGCTCTCACGCCCTGACGTCAGACGTGAGCGTCGCAGAGACGGCGCGTGCTGCTGAGTTCTTCCTCTCAGACGGC